ATAGTTGCAGCACTTTTCCCATCTAAAAAAAACATGCGAACCTTCCTCTTGTCAACCAAAACAGAAGCACCTAGCGAGGCAGTTAAGGCATCTCTCAGACTATTTCAAGTGACGTCCTCGAGCATGTTGGTAGGTGTGCTTCTGTGTGAGTTAAAGTGAGTGTTTTCGAGTGAGGAATGCTGCTCAGAAGGCGACAGAAGCAGATCGATTAACTACACACACTCCATATACAATCAATCCGTGAATGTAGCTTTGTTTATTTGAGTTTAGCCGAGCTTAATTCACATTGAGAGTAAATCGAGAGCGCCTCCACTGGTCACAGACAAGTGGTGCACACTATTATGACTGCATCAATTCTACACAAGCTGTAGCTGAGCTTACCCATATCTTAGCTCAGTTTCATGTTTTCCTTCCTCACCAGTCAGTTCTGCACAATCCCTCAATTACTCCATCAATAAAAAATGGATTAATTGATTACTGCTCGTAGAAAGACAAAAGACAAAATGGTGTGGAACACCATCAGGCTCACTTTCATAGGATTTCATCTAATGCTTGTTACCTCCCCCTGCACCGCCCGCACCCAAAGACTGCGAAGGCCATCCCACCCACTTTTCTCTTTTTTAATGGACGGCCCTTCATCCTTGTCCCTCCTCATCCTCACCCTCTGCTCAATCCCACTCCTGCATGGAGGTGGCAGGGGGAGGTGGTCATTGATGACGCTGTCCTACTTTCCGGCACCGCAACACACACACGCGCACTTATTACAAGAAACGAAGAATCGTGTCCAAAGGAAGTCAGCATGAGGTCAGCAAACCGGCATTCCAAGCAGAGAGGGTCGCAGGTTTCCCAATATGTTTGCCCAGAGATTTGGGGAGTCTATATTATTATATATATGGTGCCATTGGATCTTGCCCGATGGGTGTGGTGGGTTTTAAGTCATCAATTGGGGACAGTGGTAAAGATGTGGACCAGGGGTAGGCAAATTATGTGCTCAAGGGCCTACAGCTGATTTTTAAAATGGACAGATGGGCCAGATCAAAATAGTTACGTACATTCACAAGTAGCAATTATGTTAACGTCATATTTAGGATCATAACTTCAAAATTATGGACACAATTTCTTGAATTTTCTTTATTCCTGATGGATCATTTTTTGGTTATTCACTGTTTATTTTATATTGTTCCATATTTGTTGAACTGTTTAATGAAAATGCTCAAAATGAATGAACAAAAAATATTTTAATTTGGTTGTAAACATGTACAGTGATCCCTCGCTACTTTGCGGTTCGTTTATCGCGGGTTCAGTGCATCGCGGATTTTTTCAAACATATAATTTTTTTTTTTTTTTAATATACATGGAGTACAGTACTGTATATGATGCTCTATGTGACTCGCTGTTGTTTTGCAGCTTCTCGCGGACCATTTGCGGACTTTTTGCGGACTTAAAAAATAAGTAAATAAATAAATTAGTATTTTTTTTTGTTACCTGTTTATGTTAATTGGTCGCTACTTCGCGGATTTTCGTTTATCGCAGGTGGTTTTGGTCCCCATTAACCGCGATAAACGAGGGATTACTGTACTTTCTATGTTAAAGCTGGCAATTTCCGACAATGACCAATGTAAAATCAACTATCAGAACATTTGAACATAAAAGTACAACGACAATACAGCGATATTCATAATAGAACAAACTCACATGCATATATTCTTTATTCTTTGCGAATATTACTGCAGCCGAGTGGCTGTGAAAATCTTGTTCGTAAGTGTGGATTAATATTGCACCCCCGGTGGCCAAGTTACATACACCAAGAGGAGCCGCAATGAATTAATCATGATGTACAAGCGCTTTAATTGTGTACATTATTATGACCAAAGGTTTTCATTAACTAAAATATTATACAGTGTTATTTACCTTATAAAAAAATTGTATAGTTGGGTTTTTGGGTGAGGCTGGAATGGATTAATGGCATTTCCATTCACTTCAATGGAGGATGATTTGCGATAATGAAACAAATTGAACTTGTATGTCAAGGCACTACTGTATGTAGTCATCATGAGAAGATGCTGCAGGTCCACGTGATCCAAGGATTAGGCATATCCACCATCATACAGTCCAATGATGGCGACTGCTCCAATTCCACATTTGAAGCGCCGGCCTGGTAATGCAAGTCATGAGCCGGATTACTCCGCATGAAACATCTGCCCGTCAGGAACTTTGGATGCTAAACGGACATCAATTCGGAGCGGGACATTTGCGTAAAACCGATTCTGGGAAAGACCGAAATGAGATGAAACTTGTTTTTTCAACATTCCCTGGCAAAGTTTCAGATCATGGACCTTTCACCATCTTGTCAGTTAGAGCACTGTTCTTCATCTTCTCCATATTTCCATGTTCCCATGTAATCTTCCATCGTTGTTCATGTTGTCGATCATACCATACCGCAATTCTTGATAAAGAGTGAACCCTCTCCCTACAGTGGTGCCCTTGAAATACTGTACAAGTGACCCGACTTGCTGAACAAGAGGTAATGGATGTAGGATTTCCCCCCCCAACCCCCCAAGTGCTCTTCTTTTTGCGAAACTGGCAGGTGGGTTGCGGGCTGTCTGTCATCCTTTAAACCTTTCTCCACTCAGCCTGGCAGCTCTTGTCACTAACAACACTTGAAACCACACTCAACTAAGGTGCGCACTATGGATGAGGGTATGTGCGCATGTCATAAAATCTTCATCAAATGCACCAAGACAATGCTGCAAATAACATTTCCTGTCCTAAAAACCATAAAAGAGTCTCTGTTACAGTTGCTGCTTTAAAGGCGATGGCATACAAAAAGTGACTCACACGCTGACGTGCAGGGTGGCGTTGAAGTTTGGCTACAGGAAGCTAGTGGACCAAATCCAAACAAACAAAGTGTGTGGAAGATATAAGCAGAGATGTTGCTAATTGGCGCTAATGATGCATGTGACCAAGAATGTGAGCAGTCATCAATATTGAATGCATGAATAGTTGTTGACAAATAGTGACAAAAGAGCTCATTAAATATTCATTGACATTGCTAAGCTCCTCCCACAGCACTTAGGCTGTGGTTTGAAGTTACTTATGTACTAATTTTGGAATTCTAAAAATTGTAAAAGGGCCAGAATGCCCTCTGTACTGTATGTTGCCGCTTCACAAACCACAAAAACTATCACTAACTACTTTCCTATAAGGTATCTTATTTCATTTTTGACTCAGTGACACAGATGATAATCTAAATTCTCAAACTGTGCATATCAAATATCACTAATGTTAGTTGACATTTACCGCACCGAATATTGGATTGTAATAGATTGGGCCACATGTATTGGGGAGGTTTCATTTAAACCAAGGTTGAACTTGCTGGCCAGAATGTTTGGCACAAACACAACACTGATCATCACCAAAATAATAACATCTACTAACATCTACAAACAGCTCAAAATGTGCTCAGCACAACACCTACAGGTTTCCGATGGGAAGCAACACAAATGCCAGGAAAAGCCTACCAGAACAGCTAAGGTTCATTTGGGGTTAATCAAAGGGACTAAAAATGGTGGCAATTGTGTGCTGACTCCCATTATAAGTTATAAGAGGGTCTCAGGTGTTTGTTTTTACTTCCCCTCTTGATTTTTTTTTTAAATTTAATGGTACAGGTTAACGGTCACATTAATGGCGGAAAAAGTTTTACAACGTATTGTTGCGGTTGCGTGGCAGCCCGGTGGTCCAGTGGTTAGCGCGTCGACCTCACAGCGCAGAGGTACCGGGTTCAATTCCAGCTCCGGCCTCCCTATGTGGAGTTTGCATGTTCTCCCCGGGCCTGCGTGGGTTTTCTCCGGGTACTCCGGTTTCCTCCCACATTCCAAAAACATGCATGGCAGGTTGATTGAACACCTCTAAATTGTCCCTAGGTGTGAGTGCGGATGGTTGTTCGTCTCTGTATGCCCTGCGATTGCCCGGCAACCGGTTCAGGGTGTCCCCCGCCTACTGCCCGAAGACAGCTGGGATACGCTCGAACACGCCCACGACCCTTGTGAGGATAAGCGGATCGGAAAATGAATGAATGAATGAATGAAGGTTGCGGTTTTGGCATTTCAACAGGTGTGTGTAGAAATGTCCATCTCATTCAGGACACATGCTACTAATGCTTATTATCACCGGCCGCAAATCCACATATTTTCACTATTAAATGAGCAGGTTAATGTTTAATAATAAACATCAACATTTCTTGACCGATTGCAAGCATCCCAATTTCAAATCCCACATCCAGCATTTCAACAATTCATTTGATTGCACAGCATTTCTCTGGTCCGTCGGCTCCTCATTATTCACATGCAATTTCCACAGAAATTGCTTTCCCTCACTGAGTGGTTCTCAAACCTTTTACATCAAGTACCATCTCAAAAATGCATCGCTCTCCAAGTGCCAACATAATTGCCAGTGCTAAAATATAGCAGGGGAGTAGGCCTCAAAAACGAGGCTGAGCCCAAGGAGGATATTTAGTGTGAATGTAAGACACTGAAACATTATGCAGAGTTTGAACAGGTACACTGATCTTAAAAAAAGGAAAACAAGCAAATATACCCAAATAATGATTTATTTAAAATGGTTTGCAAAGAAAAGTTAAGTGCAAACTATACCGAAATAAATATTTGAAGACAAATCACTGTAAAAGATTAAATGCAGATACTTCAAAGTTAAATGCAACTGAACTGTACTTAAACATAAGTGAACTGGGTTAAAAAAAAGGGGGGGTGGAATGCAAAACGTAAGCCAAAGTAACACAGAACATTGAAGTGATTCTTTCTTGTCTCACAACTGATATAATTCTTTGAGAATCACTGTTCTAGTTTCTATTATTAGCACAAAAGCTCCGTAATACAACCGGCAACTACTGGTTTGATGTCTGCGGCTGCTCATTTAGGCACCCAACTAGGTTGGACTGACTTAACTACACCGGTGTGGATAAAAAAAAAGCGGAGTCTTACCATCGTCCTCCCTGTTGCCGGCGATGTTGGGACTGTGGCACATGGTCTCTGCTCGGCCGGCCAGGCTAAGCTGCGACGTCGCTCCCGGCTCGGCTGGCAGCCACGAGGGCTCGCTCATGTCGGCCTCGTCCTCGCTGTTCACTGACGCGTCATCCTGGCTCCACGCACACAAAACAGGAAGCGGTCACAATGAGTCGTAAAGCCACACGGACACGTGCGCATGTTGTGTAGTTTGTCTTTGTGGAACTTCCTTGATGTATAACATACACCATCCATTGGTGCATCGACACACAAATGATTTCACAAGTTATGAGTGCGACAAGAAACAATTTGTTTTTAATTCTATTTAATTACAAAGTTCATCATTACTGTATGTTTTTATCAAGTACAATATGATGTTTATGTTGGGAAAGCTAGATTGGATGACATTTCCATTAATTTCAAAGGGAAATGATTTTAGACACAAGTGTTTTATTTGTGAGTGTTGTCTAGCAACCAATTCAACTCGTAGCTGAAGGCACCACTGCACTTCTCGGCTTAACACGTGAACAACGCAACATTATAATTTTTGCTAAAATGCTCAAATGGATCACTGAAATTCAAACAAGCGCTTCTCTCCTGTGCTGTGTTGTTGTTGGCCCGCGATGCTTTTCAGACGATTCGCCACATTAGCATCCATTTGCTGGCCACACTGGGGATCGACCGATCAGTGTGCAGGCTCACACTCATACACACATTGGGTGTGTTGAAGGCTGTTCTGCAGCACACACAAAGATGCTATAGCAGGTGTTGCTCGGCTTGTGTGTGTGTGTGTGTGTGTGTGTGTGTGTGTGTGTGTGTGTGTGTCCAGAGCAGTGGCCGGACGGACATTGCTAAGCTAATCAAGTTAGCCCGTGGATAAACGGAAGGATCTTTGTCTCTGTGCGCTCATCTGCTCAGCAACATCCCGACCAAGGCAGGACAAAACATCCAAAACCTCAGTGTGTATTCTTATTACCCACCCTTCAGCATTACAACAACTGGATCAAATATTGCTATTGTGATGTATGATTATCATTTACACGTCAGCAGAGACACAGCTGGATCGAATATCGATAATGTGGTGTATATCGTATCATTATCGTTTTTTTCTACAGGAATTGTGAGCTATTGTTATCAGTTATGCTACATGGTTGACACAAATATGGATCAAATATCGATGTCGATACAGCTCCACTTTCATCGAAACTGTAGTATAAGTAACAACAATAAATTACAAAATGGATGTTTCAAGCAGATGTTGTGACACTGTAGCATAATTGATATAGAAACATCAGGATTTGATATTTGTCCCAGTTGCAGCAATGCTTTCGCATAAGATCTAAAATATACGATAAATCTCAGGATCGATATTTGATTTACTTGTATCGATACTGTAGCGTGCGTCGCAAATATACATCACAACATCAATATTTCACATTGTATCGATACTGTCAGACAAGCAACAATACGATACAGCAATAACGATACAATGCATCATAATATTGATATTTGATCCAGTTGTATTAGCACTCGAGCACAAGCAATAATGATACAATACATAATATTAAATTTTGATCAGGTTATATTAATGCTGTAGTAGAAGCAATAACAATATCATACCACACAATATTGATGTTTGATTCACTTGTGTCAACACTATAGCGCAAGCGACATGATACAGCATATCAATACTGGATCCAGCTGTAGTGATAGTGTTTTGCAAGTGATAACGACACAACATAGCAGCAAATTGGTATTTGAGTCAACTGTGCAACAGCAATGCAATATATCAAAGTTTGATCCGGTTGCACTGGCACTGTAGCCTAAGTTATCAATACGATACCGTGTAATATCAGCTTTGGATTGTATTAACACAAAAGCGCAAGCCATAACGATATGTGACAACAATGACAATGATATTTGATCCACTTGGACAAACAGTAATGTAAAACACACTGATATGGATATTTACTGTATGTGAGCGCGAAACGTGTTTGTCCATTTTATGAAATGAATGAAGGTTTATGATCTTATGGGGGGATGGAAAGGGTCTCTCTTTGTTGCCATGGTGCAGAGCTGCTGGACCCTCAAGCTGGCATCAACATCACCACTCCCAACCCACCCCCCACTGCCTTTACCATCAGCACCACCACCCCGCTTAAACCTCCCTTGCCCCTCCCCCATGCCTGCACCCTCTCATCCTGACAACTCCCAGCACCTCGGCCTCCGAGCAGCCCCCCCGCGCGCTCACGCACACACACATGCGCACACACACATGCGCACACACATGCGCACACACACACACACACACACACACACACACACACACACACACACACACACACACACACACACACACCCTCCTTTGTCATGGTGTTGCCATGTTACCTTGGCAACCTAAAATTACAACCAAGAGGATTCAGTGCTATTCGCTATGTGCTATATTCTCCCATTTGTGCTTTTTTTCTATGCAGATTCTCCTGTCCAGACTTCTGACACACCTACCGCACAACCTGGGATAATCGCGCAAACAGCAGAACCACGATGCACTAGCATTCCAGTCTCCCTGGGAATCCTGGAGACAACAACTTGACTGGAGACTTGTGAATGTCATTGAAATCCATTAAAAAGATCCAAAACACCGTACATTAGTACATGCCTGATCCAGAGGATGTGTAGTCGGTCAGCCACTTGGGATATGCTGACATGTTGAAGGTCTGCATTTTTTATTCTGTACAAAATGAATCCAATAAAAGTAACTTTCCATCAGTAAAAAAGGTTGTTGTTGTTGAACTTTTTCCAATGAGGGCCACAAATACAGGATCGCTATCTTGGGGCAGGAGGTGGGATATATCCCGAACTGCTTGCCATCAATCACATGGCACGCACAGACAAACAACCATTCTCACCACACTCAAAATCACAAATTGGGACAATTTAGAACAGGGGTGCACAACCAGGCGATCACGATCGACCGGTAACCCGTGGACTAGTCCTAAGTCGATTGCAGGAGGACTAGGGGGAAATGGGGATACATGTCTGTATGCATGCTATTAATATGATATATTTTTGTGTTAGTGTACACTGCACCATAAGCATCCTAACAGTTTCTCTTTCACAAAAAATATCTTTAAAAAATAAAATAAAAAAGCAGGTCACCTTTCACCTACGGTGGCGCGTGACCTGCATCATCGGAAGTTGTTAGCGGCCAGCAGTCTGCTTGTGCAGCTTGCGTTAAGAGCTGTTGCAATATATCTCTTTTAAATTGTTCATCTCATTCAGTTCGTTTCGTCTACAATTTACCGATGGCACTGGCAAAGAATGGAAATCTGGAGTGCCAGGAGAAGCAGTTTAAAATGGTACACGCGAGCTACGATAGTGATGTTCATGCGTTTAACACGCCGCATAAGTGCTTCCCATGCCTCCGCGTCAGGTCTCCCACTAAGGTAGGCAGTGATTTCCTTTTCACAAACTCTTGTATCTACTTTATTTTTCTATTTCGTTCATGTTAGGGACCGTTGGCTGTCGCTGAGCATGTGTGTGCATGCGTGCATGGGCGTGTGCACGTGCGTGCATGTGTGTATGCGTGCACGTGCACACATATACATATATA